CTAAGGGGTTAGAATAAGGATTTAGAATAAGGGGTTAGAATAAGGGGTTAGAATAAGGGGATAGATTAAGGGGTTAGAATAAGGGGTTAACATAAGGGGTTAGAATAAGGGGATAGAATAAGGGATTAACATAAGGGGATAGATTAAGCGGTTAGAATAAGAGATTACAATAAGAGGATAGAATAAGGGGTTAGAATAAGGGGATAGATTAAGGGCTTGGAATAAGGGGATAGATTAAGGGATTAGAATAAGAGGATAGAATAAGGGGATAGATTAAGGGATTAGAATAAGGGGATAGGATAGGGGTAGTGCGTAGCTGCCGGAAACCTATTGAAGATTTTCGAAGTCTCGAAAACCTTCAATAGGTTTCCGAGATCGTGAGCTTTTTTCATTGCTTTTGAAGGTTTCCGAGAGCTCGGAAACCCTTTCTCGGAAACCTAGAAAGGGTTTCATATAGTGACAAACCCGGAAACCCTCTATAGGTTTCCGACAAAACCTTTTTTTTTTAGAGTGTATGAAACATCTTGATTTTGAACATTTTGTACTTTCGTTTTAAGTATTTCCGACCAGTTAAGACTGTATGTAGAATTTGGTTGTTAAAATAAGATGTTTCACACAATTAGGAAATAATATTAGACTTTTATATTTAAACTTGATAGAAAAATCTAAAAAATTCTAGCGTTTATCCTCGGCGTTTTCATTAAAAAAATTAGCTTATTCATCTGACTCAATTTTATAATAAGAATCTAGTTTTAGCTCTTTTCTCCTTGGATGAATCCTGCCTCATAACTCAAAAAGAGCTTCCCTAACAAGTCTTTTAACAAAATACTTTTATTTATATGCATGCTCAAATATCAAGTTCGCTTTTATTTTTGTAAAATTTTTAGTAGAATGTCTATCTCGACTTTCTAAAACGTATTTTTATTTGAACTCTAATTCAGCATTTACTTCTACTTATACTACAAGCTGTAGAAGTTTAAAATATGCACAAAGATTTTGTTCAATACAACTAGAAAATTTAATACTGAAGTAATATGTAAGTCTAGCCTAGTAGCATGCTTACTGCTTCATAATTATAGCTGCCTTCAGTCTAATCCAATTTGCAGCAACAAAAATAACTAGTTTGAACGCGTTCCTAAAACCTTAGACTAAGATCCACTGACATATGAACACGTTGTTAAGACACATTTAGTGTTCTTCTGAGACACGTTTTATCACACAAGGACCATTCTTTTCAAACAAAGTTCTTAGCACTTCAGTGCACAGGTTTTTTTTATCAAGAAGGATATGGGTATGGGTGTTCACTTCTCTTTGTTCTTAGAGCCAAACTGATACTCACATCCACACACCCACACCCACAAACCCGCACCTGCACCCACACCCATACACACCCACACCCACACCCCTACACACCCACACTCTACCCACACCCCACACCCAATGTGCTTGAATTAAATTTTATACAAAAAGTAATGCAGATTTTATTTACACCAACGCGTTTTATGTTTATTTATTAAAATATTGAAACACTCTTCAGGGCACTGCATTATAAGATAAAGCACAGAAAGAAAAATTAGTGGCGTATCCAGACGAGGCTGAAGGGAGTTCAGTCTTCTCTAGAAATGTTTCTGGCTTCTCTGGTTGAAGGAAATTACCTATCACTCGTGTATTAATAGGAGTATACAAATAGTTTACTCACACTAGCAAGTATTTACAACATGAGAAGTTCAGATTTTCAAGAGATATTACTTAAATAAATGTGGAAATCTCGGATTTAAATCTGAAAATTATGTGTACTTCAAAAGGTGAATGAGACAGATAAGTCATCCTAGAATGTGTGGACATAAAAATTATCCCGGCAAACCTTTTCTATAGACACTTGATGTCGATCAATTAGAGCGTGGACAAAAACAGAACCAATTTCCGTTTAATTATCTTTGCAATAGATGAGCTTGCCTTCTTGTTTCTTTATGTTTTATATACCATTTTGTAGCTCGTGAAATTCTCTATCGAGTGCTACATAATACTTGAGGTTTTCTGTGACTATGATAGGAAAAGTTTTTTACGAAAGTGGCGATAGGTCGATCTTCGCATAGGAAAGCATAGGGAAAAATGACTATTTTTGAAATAACTCAGCAATGGCTCGGCTAATCATTCTCATCTTCGAACTCAACCGAGATATTGTTGAGATTAAACTGTGTAGAAAATTTCAACGCGATCGGGCTCTCCTTTCAAAAGTTATCGTGTAAACGGCCGGACACACTAAACGGTTCTAAAGTGTACTCACTTTTTGAGTACACAAAAACGTGAGAACTTCTCGAAAAATATGATAGTAGAAGCCAAGTTTTAGACGATAAGCTCGTCAAAATCAATTCATTTTGCGATTAGTCATAGGTATTCTGAAAGAGGAGACTTCGATGCATCTTCCTATGATAAAACCTCAAACTCAACGTGTCTTCTGAAAACTAAGTTTTCTGAGGGATAGGCCCCCTTAAGCTAGAAGTTCATCTAAACATGTACTTTTGTAGCTGATGCTCTAGCAAACGACACTGTCGGTTGATGTGCTAGTAACCATACGGTTTTTTTAGTAGAATTTTCAAGGAGTATGCTGCATTTTTCACGCCAATGTCGCGAATGTATTTTCCTTGGTGATCCTCTCAGTAAGTTGAATATACTCTCTTGTCTCGGGTGCGTGTGATTACTGCTGTCTTCATGTAGTTAGTTTAGATTTCCATTGGATATTTGTGTGTACGTGTCAGTTTGATTGGGTGAATTAATGACAAAAATCATCACAGGAGCATGCATACCATCGTGCACAAAGACACTGATGTGAATATAAAGATCCACACGCATACCCATCCTTTTTCAAACGTTGGATACTAGTTTTGTTGAGGGCTATAAAGCAGTATATCATATCAAAAGAGCCGAATATTCAGTCAAGGATGAAGATCTTTGAATCTCAATGTATTGACTATTTTTGTCTGGTGTTCACAATTCAAAATTTCAGAAGATTTTTTTTATTGTTTGTGATAGCGGTTGGATAGACCACGTCAAATTACATTAGAACAGGTCATGTTTCAAATTTTATCCAGAAAATTCTACGAAACCAGAAGTTTCAGTATATTTTCACTTTTATCTCAAAATGTCGATATCTTGAAGTTTTCTTTTGTAAAATTTTTTGAGTGGTCTAGAAATATGACTTTTCCTGTATAACTCATCGAGTTCTATCCAACCATCATCATAAACAGCAAAAAAGATCTCCCAAAATTTTGAACTGTGTTCACTCTGCATACACGGCCAACACTTTTAAGTTCAAAGATCTCGGTCTAGAAACGTCATCAGAACGTTGTATTTTAAATTTCTTAGTGTGCCAATGAGACCTGTAATTTAACTCGAATACGTCCAATGTCCTTGAGTTACAGCACACAGCTCTTCATTGTAAGATAAAAAAATTTCGTCTATTGACAGGAATATCATTTTTTGTCTTCTCATAATCTTTCTTTTCTTCTTTTTGTTTATCACAATATTTATGGCGTCATAACCTCGAGAGCAGAAAGTATAACATAACAACTAGGTAAAACGGTTCTCTTCTGTAGAGGGTGTGGGGTCTGCGTCTGCGTCTGCGTCTCGGTGGGCATATAGATGACGAGAAGACCAATACTCAAACATTACTTCCACATCTATACTCAAGCCACAGACACATCTTACTCATGCGGTGTATATGAAGCGAAAATTGTTTGGTATTGTTCACGAATAAATTGTCTTCACTCAACCTCTAACAACTATTGAAAACTTTGCTCAAAAAGATCATATTCAGACAGTGAATCAAGTACGCTGAAATCCATAACAGCTTTTCAAAAGAATCATCGAAGTTTCTCTCAAATACTAAAAACCTGTCGTTCAGATGCATAGCAAAGTACTAGGGAGAAACGCGAAATCTTTGTGTCGACTACTATAATTTTTTTTTCTACTTAAACTAAATTGAAGACAAAATTTATAATGGTCCACATTGTCTAGGTCCTTACGGATTTCATCAATTGACTGATAGTTAGAAAGTAGCTGCGCATTTGAGCAAATTTTAATAATGTTCTGGGTAATGTGGTAAATTTGTTTCAACAGTGAAAAGATGTAGTCTAATAGTAAATAATGACAACCGACAATGGTGCTATCGATGTCGCAACCACTGTAGCCTTAGATCGTCAATTATTGGGAATGATATTGTATATCAAATCTTTTTGTAGCTAGAATGAAATGGCTTGGGAATTTTTAATGATAATATATTTTTTTCTTCTATTGTTGTAAAATGAGAAAAAAAACTAAACATTAATTAATTAAAAGAAATCACTGTTAAAATCTAAAATAAATCGTCAACATATCAAATGAGAATCAACTCGATTGTTATTATTGTTGAAAGAAGAGTCATGATTAGAAAGATGATGTATCAATTTGATTGTCATAAAAGAATCTAATATGTTCTTCATTTCTCAATCTTCGCTGAGGTTTGATTTGCAGAGGACTGGCACGATCGGTCCATAAGAATTTGCGCAAAAAAGTCGAGAATGTTCCATTACGTACAAGAATAGAATCAAGTGGACCAAGCTTTGTTGAACTTCGATTATCTTTATAATTTTGATTCGCTTTGCAAAGTTGTTCTTCGACTTCTGTATTGATGGTATTCTTGAGAACTTGAATTTGTTGTGTATCAAGCTTGTGTCCTTGATCCTCAATCAGTTCCAGAAAGATGACGTATCTAGCTGGAAATACATCTAATCTTGGATACGACGCAAATTCACAAAAGTCAACCGGTATGCCTTGTTCTCTCCATTGGCGAATAGTTTGTCGAAGAGCATTCATCACATGTTGTTCATTTGTTTTTTCACCATATATATCCAAAAGAGTTCCAACACGATATGCGAGTGAAATGAGAGGAATTTTTGGTATTTCGACTGGTTCTTCTGGTAATGCAACCAAGTCATCGGCTCGGCAAAGAAACCTCGTGCAATTGATGACATCTCCCATTCTGTATCGAACCAACCCGGCGTCGGTTGTACAAACCAATTCATATCGATGTCCGGGTTCGATCTCTGAGATGAGAAGAGTTTTCGGTTGAGTCTAAACAAGAATTAGCATAGTAAACATAGAATAAAAAAGTATAGCCAAAGACGGCGATACAGCTTAGATTTAGAAGATACCATGAGATCCCTGCAGCTCTAACTCGAACGAATAGTGTAGCATAGAAGTGTTCTCTTAGTATTTATGAAAATTCTCTTCCATGACTCCCTTAATTGAAACACTTTTCCTAATCAAAAGATAGCGCTCATAATTCTACTCCGATTTAATATACTATATATTGCATGAATATAACTTTTTCCATGTCTTTGGATGAAACGTAATCAAGGACAAAGTATAATATTTTTTTCTTTTTTAATATTTTTCAAAACGTTTTATATCATCTATCAATGTTGTCTTTATTCTTACGTAGTCCCAATTCATAGCTTTAGCCATTTCATTCCATAAATTGCAATGTTCAGGACAGCCGGATGTGAGCTATGAATAGGAAAGAGACTGACAATAACGGTGCTGTTCATGAAAAACCAAAAATACCGATTAAGATGATGGTGTGGTCAGGTAGACGTGGAGGAGGGTTGACAGCGCCGGTAGTTTTGCAAAATGAAACAATCGATGCAACAAGATACATCAGTGACGCTCTTCCAGTAGCTCTAAAATCCGACAACAATGTGTCAGGAAACTGTGGAACACACCAGCAGGGTCGTGCTAAACCTCGCACGCATCACCTGTGGTGACCGCTCACTTCGGTACATGACATTTCGTCCCGTTCAATTCGTCCCACACGATTCGTCCCAATTACATTTCGTTCCATTACATTTCGTCCCCTTACATTTCGTCCCAATTACATTTTGTCCTAATTACATTTCGTCCTCTTACAATTCGTCCCAAGTTCATTTTGTCCCCTTACATTTCGTTCCAATTACAATTCGTCTCATATCTTTTCTAAGATCAACTTTTAGTTATTTTAATTAGATGTCGTGTAAATACTTATCGTCGCGTCTATTAATCATCGCGATAATAAACGACCAATGAACAATGAATATATTCCTTTTTTCTATTCTACATATTTATCGAGATTAATTTTCTATTTGTCATTCAACCACGTGCGCTCGTAGTTATTGGCATTTTGTACAAATTTGTACAAATAGTATAAACAAAAACATGAATACTATTGAGGTATGAAAGAGTTCTCGAGGAAATTCAATGATATATTTTTCAGAATATTTGTACACTCAACATCGAATAACAGAAGAAAAACGTATATTTCGTTGCGGAGATCCAAATTGTAGAAGTAAGTGTAAATCGTTAAATCTAATCTTTTAACTTTGCTTGATATTATTTTTTGATCGTTGTCAAACGAATATTCAGATGGAAGTATTACTCAAAGAACCATCTGAACATTCTCATGTACCTGATCCAGATCGGCTGCACCTCATTCGACTTAAAAATGAAATTAAAAGTCGTGGTGCATCATCAGATGAAGGAGCTAGTACGATACTATTTGATGTATTACGGACAATTCCATTAACTATAACTACTGATTTACCTACAAATGACGCATTGTTGCAAACGATTCGATTTGAACGACCAGCAATGCAACTTGATCATAATGGTCGTTTACCTTTAATATTACGACAAACTGATTGAGGAGAAAGTTTTATTCTATATGAAGATGATTCTATGGTAATATTCACATGTGATAAGGACTTATCAGTTTTAAAGCAGTTAAATTTATTAAAATAAACTTTATCTCATATTGCTATACTGAGAATGAATAGTTACAATATGGGACGAAATGTAAGGGGACAAAATAAAATTGTGACGAATTGTAAGGGGACAAATTGAAAAGGGACGAAATGTAATTGGGACAAAATGTAATAGGGACGAAATGTAAGGGAACGAAATGTAAGGGGATGAAATGTAATTGGGACGAATTGAATGGGACGAAAAGTAACGGGATGAAAAGTAGGGGACGAAGTGTAGGGGTACCTCACCTGTATCAAAAATGAGTCGATAGAAAGCGTGGAAAGGAAAAATATTGAATAGAAACATATCGAAAAAAAAGCAAAATGACGAAGAAGTAAATGCAGAAGGAGAAAGTAGAGATATCGAAGACATCATATGGGAAAATTAGACAAAAGCAGACAGTTGAAAGCAAAATGTCGAAAAATCACATGTTGGCAATGAATTGTTTTATTAGTATTAAATAGAAGAAGATTGTTATTCGATGATATGAAAAAAGTAATAGAAATGAAAAAGCTGGTTTTAGAAATCTGCATTCCGTTTTGGGATGTGGGTGTGGGTCTTCTCTTCATACACATACCCACACCTCACTCTCGCGCCCACACCCACACCCGTTTTAGATCGCACAGGGTATTTATCGACTTCGATCCTATGCAAAATGGCCGCCGCTAAGACGCTGTTAGTGATACAAGAAATCAATACTCTCATGCTTAATGATAAAACATTGGTTTTTTTTCGCACTTTCTTCTATATTTACTTCTTCAACATTTACTATGAGTTCTGTTGCTTTGTAACACTAGGGGCATCTTTTAACTATGTCATTAAATGAATACCTTTTTTTTGCAGAAGAAGCAATTAGAAAGTAAAACTTGATCATACGAATACGAACTCATTCATGAGTCACTCGTTCTGTAATAAAAACGTATAATTCAATCAACTTTCATCAAAATCAAAGAAGAAGGGTATATGGTTCAAAAAGCAATTCTTCAAGATTACTGTTGGCGAGTTTTTAAGCAAATATTCATATCATTTCGACCCTTAAGAACAAGAATCTCTTTTACTAGCCGTTTGAAAAAAATAAAAGAAAGCATTTCAATTGATACGCGAATTAATGAGATAAAGAACATCCGAACTTTTTTCAAAAAGTAATATTTTGGGAAACAGAATCGGCTCCTTGAGTTTTCTTTGACTACTCTTCATGGAAGTTTTTCATTTAATTAAAAAACAATAAATGTTCTTGATCAACCAAATGCACTCTATTCTGTAGTAAACGGAAAGTGAAAGCTTCATTTAAAATTCGAATTACAAGCGCCTTACTTGCGGAATATCTTCTTCTTTGATGAATTCGAAGAAAGCATATGTTGGTAATAGAAAGTACTCGTCAGTGTGAATACTTGCAATGGCACCAAAAAATCCTTCACTTGCACCATAGATAAGTAGATTAATTAAAGGTAGCCGTTCTCCACAATAGAATTTTATATCGGCTTTGTACATATGAAAAGTGCTTCCTATTGCCGCCGAAACATACTCCAGAGTTGGCCAAAGACGATGGAGAAGACCGGGAACATTCTTTTTCAAACATTCATTTCGAATATGTTGAGCTCGTTCCAATTGATACACTTCTCCTCCATGCTCGACAATTACTTCGTTCAATCTTTGATTCAAGGTCGATATGAAGTTTGAATCAGAAATATTCTTTCGAACCAGTGAACTATGATCAAAATTGGCAGTCGAAATGCAAAGACTGATTTCTTCAAAATAATTTTCAATGAGCTTGATGCTGTGAATGAGTCCTGGAGCAAAAGCGACTGAGTATGAGTAAATATTTAGATTCGCAAGAGCAAACACAAGTTGAACGAATACACTTGTCTCGAAATCAGTAATTTCTTGAATAATGTCCAGTGCTACAACATTATCACTGAACACCACTATGTCAATTCGAGAGAAGGATACAACAGCTGACAAATAATGACTAAGGGGACCGATCGGTGTGCCATCTTTTGATCTTGGAAACATCTCAGGCTTCTTCCCACTTTGCAGAAAGAATGGTCGTTGTTTAGGAGACGAAAATGATGAAGAAGGCAATGATCTTTGTATAATATGAGATCCCAATTGTGTTGACTCGTTAATTTTTTTCATTGTCGTCGAAGTTGCAGGAAGAAGTTTGGCTTTTGCCGTCGTTCCGGAACTTGTAGAAAAATAAACTATATTTTCGGACGACAGCAGGTTCTTCTCTCCATCGAGAACCATTCGATCAATATAATCACGATAGTCTTCATAAGTTGTCAATGGAACTTTCTCTCGAAACTCATCAATGGATGCATACCCATCTTCTTTTGAAGCCGCACTGGGCGTCGAGAAGCATGAAATTGATCGATCCATAGAGAATGCACATGAGTGATTCTTCTGAAGAATTTCTTTCAATAGTTCATTGTTAGTAGTTTGAAAATTGCAGAGTGAACTCTGATAATACGACACAAATCGATCCAGGTCCAATTCTTGCAAGTTTGAATCCATTAATTTTTGAAGTTAAATGAGTGACTCTAACAAAGCTCCTGGGTAGTGTGTAGAAGAGAACTGTTTTAAATAGTTGTTAAATTATACTTTCTACTCTCCAGGTTATCACACCATAAATGTTGTAATAAATACAAAGAAAAGAAAGATTAGAAAACGATAAAAAAAAAGAACTTTCTGTCAACAAGCGAGTTGTTTTATCTTAAATGTAGTAAAAAATGATAACGAACAACGTAGTAACCTTTTCGTCGATCCTACAAGCTCTCGAGAGTGTGGATGGGTGTGGGCGTGGGTGAGTGTGTATGTTGGTGTTAATCTCCCTTCAACTACATTCACACCCACACCTATACGACTCCCCCACACACATCCAGACCCATACACACGACTCCCCTCACACACTCACACCCACAATCCCCGCTACTCACGTTGTCACTGCAATAGATTTAGGCATCGACGTTGTAATTCTATTGAGGTTATCGCTTGATGACTGGAAAATTATCGATGGCAGCCTTAATCAAATTTGTGTGTCCTTAAAGAATGGTTCCGAGCTCGTTGTTAATGAATACGCCTTGAATAGAATCATTTTTACGCAGGTCCATTCAAATTTGCCTAAGTTAATCAGACAGACAACAATAGCTGATGTTTACAAGGAAATTCGCAGAATCAAAACTAATCCTGATGAGCATCTACCATGTAACTATATTCTTTCTCCCATCGACGCATTTTATCCCGATCAAAATCAATAAAATACTAGATTTATTCTAATTGAGCCGATAATCACAGAAAGAGTTGAAGATCACTGGCATTGATTATCATCTTTCAAGAAAATATGGACAACATTTGAAATCAACATGAAGTGCGATGTTTGGCAAACTGAACTTAGGGAACAATTCGATGCAATGCGAGAAAGCGTCTCATCAATAATGAATCAATATGAAGAAGAAAAGAAACTGAGGTATGGGTGTGGGTGGGTGAAGGTGTGTGGGTGGGTGTGGGTGTGGGTGTGGGTGTAGGTCTGGGTGTGAGTGTGTCACAATGAGCAACTTTCGCATAGCAGACGAACATGAAAATTTTAAGAGTTTTTGAAAAAATTCATTGAGTAAGTGTTTTCAGAAAAAAGTGCATAGCAGATTTTGTAGAGCGTGAAAAGATCTGCTAGGTGAGATATTAATCGGATTTTTCTGTCACTATGGTGCTTATAAAATTAAAATGGAAACAAAAAAAATGATGTCCGCCTGGTTGCCCACTGTGTGTGGGTTGGGTGTGGGAAGGAGGGTAGGGGTGTAGGCGGGTGTGGGTGTGGGTGTTGGTCTTATCTTCATACCAACACCCACATCCTCACACTTACACCCACAGCCACAACCACACCCGCATCCCTTGTGTAACATTCTTTATGTTGCTAAAGGCATTCATATTGACAATCTTATTTTATAAAGTTTCCTGTTTTGAAATTTGTTGTCTCATATCCAGCCCATTCGGATTTATCTCTCGACGACTTTTGTAGGTTTAATTAAAACTATCTTAGTGTTTCTTGAAAATTCAATAGAAAAATACTAGATAAATGAATATTGTTCCATTGAAATGATAAGTCGTCTAAAAAATCTTTGCGAGGGAAGACAGGAGTTAAAGACATACTGCTGTTATGAAAAAGAGTTTTTTAATTGTTCTCTAAATGTAAGATGAAATTATAGACTCAAGATTGATGCGTTTCAAAGTATCTTCTTATTAGATAAGGCTCTCTCTTTCTCGAAGGAATCATTTATTTTGATCAACTAACAATATGTAGATTTAGGTTAGATTTCATCAATTTACTGATAGGAATCGAATCTTTTCCGTTGCGTTTGATTATGTCCAAAAACTACACAAATGCAATAATGAAAAAGATATCTTGTATAAAACTTAAAAAAGATCTATGAAAAGTAATAGAAGAGGAAGTTTAAATAATTTGACTCAATCATCTATCAATGATCAAATTAAAGTGAAGGAATTGTAATTCTTATCACTCTTCCCTTAAATGATGATTTACTTCAAGGATATCACTATCACATGTTATCACAATTTGATTTTGTGTAAGCAAATAATCCACAATGTTGTTATCTCTATTCATCGCAGAAATACAGTAAATGTAAGACAAGAAGCAGCATACGTGATGTTTATGGTGTGTTAAAATGAACTATTAGTGTACCGCTGGCCATATCTATACTTATATTGATAGAGAATACACAAACATCAAGAATTTTCAGAAGGATCTGTTGGTGCAATGGTTTTGCTCAATTTGCTCAGTTAATACATGATGGTGCCACTTTTCTGTACAATTTGAACGATTTGTTCAGGATTTTTGTCGATAAATTTATCAAGGATCAGCAAGTTTTGCGCATACATATTACAGTGTATTGAAATAATTATCAAGACTACTACTTGAACTGTTTATTTGACTAGCGAATACTTCAGTCAGAGTTAGCACACATATTTGTGTTTTAGTTTTCAATCCGAAAGTTTTAAAACAACCAACGATATAACTATTAGCTACTTATATTAGCGTTCCGCAAGGCTTCAGCGTCACCATTTTAAAGATCGTGATCGTGCAAAGTTCTCTTTTTTTTGAATAGATTTTGGAAAATTTATATTCAAAATATCCAAAAGAAAAATTGTTATTTTGGGTGTGGGTGTAGGAGTGTGTAGATACAGTCGTGTCCGCTTATAAGAGCGCAGTCGAGGTTTCTAAAAGAGGCTCTTATATTCGGACCGCTCCTTTATCCGAACTATATGTAAAACAGTGCAAAAATTGTTTCTTGTCAACATTTATTAAGTAGTACATAGACATACATAAATTTACTTAAAGAAATCCGTGATTTTACTTTGAGTACGATTAATTAAAGCGTTCTTTTCGATCATGTCTTCGATATCATAATATGAATTATACTCTGTAAAATTCTCTTCCAAATACTTGCGAACCATCGAAAGATGCATCGGTGCATCTTTATGAGAGACACCTGGTATCGATTCATAAGAAATTCCGGCTTCTTCTTCGTCTTCTTCTTCTAAATCGGCCATTCCTTGTCGATTTAGTTTCACTGAATCGCAAATTTCGTCATCCGATGTTGAAGTCTTTAGCCATATCGTCTGGCTTTTTCGATTTCAGTGCTTCCAAGATTTCCAATTTTTGCTCAATCGATAATGTGCAACGTTTACCGCTGGTAGATGCCATTCTCTCAAAAATAAAGCTTCAACGAAGTTAAATATATATCACCTTTTGGATGGATGAATATCTGATCCCTTTATTGAAGAAACAGCAAGTATATATACATAGGAGAGAGACAATAGACGGACTAGAGAAAAAGCGGAGAAGCTTCGTCCGTCTGTTTAGAAAATGAATAATAGACAGAAAAAGACAATGGTTCTTCTTACTCAACAAAGACGTCAGTTAGGACAAGTGAGTAAGAGGAAAAAGAGCATACGTGCAACAGATGAATAGAAAAAGAAAAGAACAAGAACATACAATATGGCTCTTTTATGCGGACTCAAATCGCAAAAAAGCGCCAAAACAAAGCTCTTATAAGCGAACCGCTCCTTTATCCGACGCTCTCATAAACGGACTTTGCCAGCACGTAAAACACAGGAGAAAAAAACGGAGAATTGGAAAACGGCTCTTAAAAGCGGACCGCTCCTTTATCCGGAGCTCTTATAAGTGGACTCGACTGTATGTGGTCGCAGATCTCGTCTTCGCCAACACCCACACCGACACTCAAGATAAGGTGAGAATAGACGAAAAATTGTGAGTATAGTTTCTTCATTCAATAATATAAACATTGTCAACTATTTGAAAAGTGTTTTAATAAGCGACGTTATCATCTCACTTCTACTAGCCAACAACTCCGCTGACTTGGATATTTCCATACCAAGTATTCCACCTTCACCATTTTTATCTGGAATATTCGCTATATTGAATGCGACAGTTGGCGCAATATAGATCAATTCATTAATTGCATCTTGTCTAACGAGCAAATCTAAATGTGAATATCTGAGAGTTGCCATAATCACGGGACGACAAACTCTTAGAACTAATGCATGCGTTTCATGTGTACACTTGTCCAGTGTTAACTTTGTACGATATAAATCTTTCAATTGTGGGCAAATATCATTGAGAATATTTTCCAATTCACAGATATATTGATGATAGAAATATTCTGCAAGAATATTTGATGTTTGACCAACAATTTCTTCCAATTCAATACATAGTCTTTCGCGCAGCTCATTGTCAGTTGGATGTGAATTTAACTGAAGTTTTGAATAGCAATGTGCTTCAAACATCAGTTGTTCAATTGGATATGTACGTTTACGAAATCCTTCGGTGAGATCGAGAAAAGAGTCATGAAATTTTTGTCTAACACTATCGACAAATTTTGTACGTTCTTTGGTGACGGTAGTTGTATGCCAGTGATTTGCTTTGGCGAAGGCAGGTTGAAAGATATTTTCATAGAAAATTTTGTCCCAATTCTCTGTGTTGTGTTGTTTAATATACTCATCTATTGACGTTATAGCCAGATTTTGTGGCCACAACTGATTTTGTTTGATTCTATCAAGTCGTTCCAATACATGTCGAACTAATCGCAACCGTCCCAAATCAACCAGCTGTTTCAAATGTGTTTTTGGTAATTCAAATTCAATAAATTTATTGAGACCATTTTTACTTCGTTTGAATCCCTGTTCTAAATCACCACCAAAATGATGTAGTTTTTGATTAATAACACGAAATTCTTCGGAGTTTTCATTCAGAATTTGCATCCGTGGACAAGCAGCATAAATATGTTCTGGTTTAAAATGTTTATCAATGAGTTCAGTAGAAGCTTTTTCATAATGTTCTTGATAGATTGTTGGAGTTTGACAGAGGTCAAGTTTGGTGATGATACCAAACGCACGTTGCATTGCTTCAAAATGATTTTGTTGAATTTCATGGAGAAGACAGATCTGTGGTTCAGTTAGACTTGGTTGTTGACCGTTGGTAAGAAAAAGGAATGCGTCAGCTGTTTTTATTGCTTGTAAACCGGCATCACGATGTTCTTTAATGGGGGAGTCAAAACCAGGAACATCTAGAAGTTCGTAGTTCTTACCTATCAAATACAAAAGGAGAAGCCCAAGTTAGCACAAACAAGACTGATCTACTGTCTAGTACTTAAAGATTGTTAAAATGGAATAGATTATCAAGCATGGCAAAGGTAAGCATGCAGTGGTTTTTGAGATTAACAGCTATAATTGTCAAAACGTGCGACTTTAGAATGTTTTCTGGTTTTAATTGGAATTCTATTGACTTCAAACTATCGACCACGTCACTACATGGTTCAAAATTTTCCAAAGCGGAGTTTTACACTGTTTGAAAAGGAGTTTGTATGGTTAATAGCTATTTTTAACCGACGGCAGGTGAGCATAATGTAAGAAAAGTCGAATCGTTTCTACCCATGGGAACTCCTGTAAAAATGCTTTGCCCTCAAAACAAGTGTTTTAGTCGTTTTTAACCATTTAGAACTGAAGTTGCATGAAATTCGAATTATACAAATTTGAGAACCGAAACGACCTAATATAAAAATCACGGTTAAAATCGACTGACTTGATGAGTCTCAGTGCTTTCTGAGGATATCCAAAAGAGCTCGATCTTCTTCTTTACTATGTACCTGGTAGCTTATCCGTATAAATTGCAATTTCCTTAATAATATTAACATACAATTCACCGGTTATATAAACATGTAAGTGTTTAAGAATAGCCATACGCTCTTTATTCGTATCACTTAAGTCATTAATACGAAAATGTTCTTCTGGAAATTTAGCTTTCAACATTTCTCGTGCTTGAATCATCTGATCTTTACGTTGTTGTAACTGTTGTGGATTTTCATCTGTTTTCTTTGTCATTTTATGAAAGAATAGATGAAACTCCTGCTCATCGTAAAATTTGACAGTGGCAAACAGCTGTGGATCACCATTTTCAAGGGGTGGTTTGAGCACGGTACGTATCTGTGTACATCGTTCACTCGCCGTCGGCAAAAATTCGTAGCCAAGAAGTGCATTAATAAATGTTGATTTGCCAGTTTTTTCTAAGCCGATAATACATATAGTATGTGATTGCTTGTTATTCAGTTCTTTCAATTTCAATAATTTCTTCTTTGTGTCATTTATGTTATTATCACTTCTACCAGATTTGGTTTGTTTATCAACAAACTCTACTGATTGTAAAATTTTAAGATGATCTTCAACTAATAAGTTGAATTTTTCTTTCATTTCATCTGTTGCATTATCATCAACTTTCTGTAAATAATTATTCAATTCCTGAAATGATTCAGTTGAGAGTACGGTATCACGTGCATTTTCCAGTTCCTTGTATGCAGCATAGATTTTACGTATTCGATTGTTATTATCATATTTAATATTTGTCAGTTCGTGATTTTGCCATTTTTCACCTAATTTATGTTTAAAATGATCACGTTGGTGAAGAAACTCACTGAGGAGTTGTTGAAGCCAACGGTCGACTAAAGTTAGAGAAACGAAATGAATATAAAACCGCTCTTTTCTCTCATATTCGGAAAAAGCGTATGTTAGAAAGCGATTAGAAGAAAATTTGTGATTGTGTCGAAATATGGAATGGAGCGGTCGATTTGCGGATGATCGACCCTGTCCGATCGAACTGTTCAAATCGACCCGTTTTCACCGATTTTTTGCCGATTTTATTTATCAATTTTTATGGCCCTGAAGATGATCTATTTTGTTTATTTTCTATCGACTTTCATGGTTTGAACAGTACAGAAATATGAGCTCGAAAGTCTTGAGCTGAAAAATTTCTAGTCAGCATCAAAATCCTAGCTCTATAGTTTGAGCTCGGACTTTTTTATTGTCATGGTCAATATATTTATAATAGTCACGAAAAGTTAGTCAATCGTTAGAAATTAAATTTGCTCTAAACTAAAGATTTTCTATCTCGAAAGTTCAAACTCACTTTTCTAGACTGCTTTCAATCGACTGTCAGAAATTTCCAATGGCTAGTGAATTCCAGTTCATACTTTCATTATGAAAATAGCACAAAAGATTCCATACTATTGTCAAAGTTATGCTAACTGCTACTATCATGCAACTGTGAAAATATCCAAGTGCTCAGAGACCTAAAATATGAAGTCTGATATTAAAATTTAGCTCGGTAGCTAATTGTCTTCATATCGGCAGTAGTAATCTCATGAGAATGGAGCCTTTTAGTTGTGTTAAATAATAATTTCAAAAAATAAAACATCACACTTATCAGATCTTCTAAAGAAATCATATTCGTATTGAAGAAAGTCAGGTAGAATAAAATATAGATGTTGTTCAATACCAGCTGTTGTGAGTTACTAAATACAATGTTTTGAGCAGGCTCCTCATTTATTCATAGTATTATCATATATGAAACGCAACATAGTGAAATAGAAATCGTTACTATTCGAAATACCTGACGTGTATGATAGACATTGTGTATATCTGTAGAGCTATAATAATAAACTTCTCTTCGAAAGAAATAATTGGCTAAATTATACATTAAATGGATCGTTTTTGTTCGTCGGTTCAATTCGATAATTGAGCCGGATGGTTTTCTATTGGTTAAATGAAGAATTTGAATCGGCCGAGACCGTCCGGTTGAAAATATTCAACTGGTTCCAAATCTGATAATGTCTTCGATAGGTGCATGATTTGAAATTTGGACTCTTGATACTATTGTTATTCGAAAACAAAGCGTATTTATAGAAAATCTGAAGCCAAAAAAATTTAACCCTTTATGTTGGCAAGAAAAAGTTACGAAGGGTGTATTAGCAATCTGTATGTTATATAGTAGACATTAATACTTTTTGGTATGAATCATAGATTCCTGGCTATTATTGACCGAACATCCAATAATCTTATACAATTCGAGAGAGAGTTTTGCTCTGTACGAGCCTAGATATGTGATGACCCTAAGCATCATTTGTATAGTGAGTTAGTGTTAAAATACTAGTAATTAGACTATGACCAACTCACAATATTTCAGAATAAAGTATAGCAGAAAATAAACTTGCACAACCCTCATAACAGCTAAAAATAGCTCAAGCTTCATTGTACCTTTGGTCAACGTTTCAGCTTGAATTTCTTGCTAGCATCTAAACATTTTTCAACATAACTTGATCCACCACAGATCCTTTGCCCTATTTGTGACTGATAAATCAACTGTACGTAAACTTGTTTTAGTTCAAAATAAAATTATAACATCAGATTCATGCTCAGTATTGAAACTAAATCAGACAGAATTTTTTAATAGATTAAATAGTGCAAAGGTCGTCACTCGGCTTTACAGACAGTTATATAGTAGTTCTTATGCTAAATCAACGATAAACATTGCGCCATCCAAACCTCGAATTATTCCAAGTAATAGCTCATCTTATATCGTAGATTGTTTTATACTCATTCCAAATTTTCATCGTTCTAAAGCGTTATGCTGATGAGATTGGAGCATTTTACAAAAAACTATAAGAGCAATTCCTGTAGAATTCAAATGAAAACACGAAATAACTGCTGTTATTAATAGAAAAAATCTTTAACAAATGAGTTTAAACCAATGCTGTAGATACTTGATAATCTCTTTAGTTCACAAGCCACAATTAAATCAACATCAGCCGGTTATATTTTTACTTTGTCTATAAATCCATGAATTTTTCTGTTAGTAATATCTAAATATACACAATACATCTCAACTTTGACGTTGTGTCTGTCATAGTCTGTGGAAGGAGGAGAGGACAAAGTTTCTACCCTTAAACTTCAATACTCCTTTCAATTCATGTTCCACAAAAAGTCGTTTAGAATTCTGCAAGATTCTTGGCTGATACACTTTGATTCGAAATGTTGCTAGTTGACCATAGTTCAATTATCAGTATTTTAACGCTAAACCATTATAGAAAGAGCAAATAGACTATTTTAAAACATTTTTGTAGACTAGGTACCAAAGTATGTTAGATGCCATCATAATTCCTTTTCGTAGAGCTCAAAATTCTATACTGAACGGTATAAAATGGTTGCGTACCCTGTCAATAATAGACAAAAATCTATGAATCACATCGAAAAGTATTATTGTCAACTATATAACATAAACATTACCAATACAGCTTCATAATTCTTTTCTTTGCCATTATAAACAGCTAAGTTTTTGGCTGTAAGATCTTCTATATATAGGCCTTTTTTCCGAATAAAAATATCGAAAGTCCAACTTCCAATATATGCTGAATCTATAGATAATTATGCGGTTTTATTAGAGAGCCTCGCTTAAAAAAACGCACTAGTCGGGTAAAAATCATGATTTTGGCTTCTTAACCTTTGATTCGATACATTTGAACCAACACTTTACTCACCAAGATGCAACATTTCCAGTGGTTCCACGGCGTAGTTCGCAATAATATGTGTCACTTCCATCTTATCAGCTTCAATCTGATCTCCTACTGAAGTGGCTGATTGTACCCCTTGTTGATAGGCCGATTGTAGTGAAGATGGATGCAGTGTCGAGGAAGAAAGAGCCGGTTTCGGATGCCGCGTTGATGGCGAATTTACGATTGTACTGGTATTTACGGAAGTATTAAAGAAAGCAAGTGGATCCGACGGGTCCGATGATCGTGGTGGTGGTGGTGCCGCTCGTGTTGGCCTCATCGGGGTTACGGATTGTGAAGACGCAGAAGTCGTATCTTTATTTGCTCCTCCAGAGTTTGATGGTGTAATCGAAGATGCTCTGTCTCTTCCTTCTAATATTGAAGTAGGATTTCCATTATAAACTGTGGACGCAACGTCTGTTGTACGCTGTTTATCTTTCTTATGCATATTGTTCCTAAAATATCTAAAAAACATCAATGCTTTACAACATGTATATTATCGAAAGAAAGAGAAAGTGGAAGTGACTTTCGAAAAGACTGGAATTCCATACACTAACACAGTGTTACTTTCGAGTCTCTTATTAACATCTACCTTTTTTCTCGGTTCTTTACAAGGAAGAAAAAAAATTAAGTCGCTGTTGCGTATTACTCGCTTTATATGGATTTGTTACTAAAAATCCATACAGATACTCAATTAACAGTTTTATGAGTAATCGAATGGTTCACCATTAAGATGTTTCTACGTGTTTAACTCATTAAAATGTTAAAACATTTGTCATCACCGAAGCTCTAGAATCATATAAGTGCTAGAAGAAGCACCCAACTACTGAGACAATTTTCAGCAGACCACTCGACTAAGATTCTGTAGCATATTGATAGCAGGTTACTATATAGGTACCTTGTTGGGAATTTTCTCAGTATCCGGGTATCTAAAACTTAATAAGTGGTGACACAAAAGTTTTTGTACAAATGTTTCTCCTTTGTTCTGTACTAAAACAAGTTTTGGAACAATCAAAAGTGACTAGTCAGAGTTGGTGTCGATAGAGCTTTTTAGGTATGTGCGCAAAAATTATTCTATCATGTCTGGACTTAGAGTAACTAGCAGATCTCTCAACAACATTAAAATATATTCTTAAAAACAGCTTGGACTAGTTTTAGCATATTTGGTTGATCTTTTTTTCGTCATTAGAGTTCGCGTTTAACTCTGAGCGAACTGGGCAAGAATATTACAAAATTATTTTAAATAACATATTAGGAAAATTTAAAAAACAACGGTCAACGAAATATTGTGAAAATTGAGCGTAACGATAGGAATGACGCCGACAAAACGTTTTCGAGATTTGAGCAGCGCCATTTTATTAAAACAAACCAAATGGTACCTACAAGCGACCCGGAACACTCCAAAGATAAATATGTTGAGCTTCGCAGCTAATTTTTCCAAATATTATCTAAAACAACGTCATAATATTTTCTGTCATGCTCATAGGGAATTAAACTAGAAATCTAATGAAAAACTACCAATACTAAACTATGAAACGAACGGGAGAAAATCAAAAAATATTGATCTGTTTTTCCTTTACAGCCTACATTTTTGTGTTGTTGAAAGATGTGCTCATTACTTCAAGCCAAGATGTTATGGAATAGTTTTTGACTATACAATTAGAATGCTTTTTTTGACGGCAATTCTGACAAACTACTGCTAAGTTGTTAAAAAGATGTAGTAGCATATGAAAAAACGAGAGACATCTGTACAGGAACTTTTGCATTACTCGTTGTGTATGTAATACACTAAAATGACAAATTATGTACTAACTTGAAAGTTCGTCAATCATTCTATGTCTCAAAAAAAAAAATTAAAATTTCATCAATCATTCAATGTACCATGCCCTCACGATGAAAAATATTCTCAAAATATACTTAGTTCATACCAGAAGTCTTTACGGAGCGACATCACTTGCTTGTAGAATATTCAAAGAACTTTTCTTTTTATCTAGACTAATAGTAAAAACCAAGCTCTACATTTCTGTACTATTTGATCATTATTCACCTGGTATCATAATAATAAAATTTCCATTAGACTTGTTTATCTATAATATGTAAAAATAACATTAGTCGATATTGTCTTCAATGTGGATGTCAGTGTCGGTGGGTTTGGATGCAGGTATAAGTGTAGACTTGGCATGTGATCTTAACACATAGCCACACCCATACTTACACTCAACCACATCCACATTCACACCCACATTGAAATCAAATACGGACTAATGTTATCGTTATCTATCATAGCTAAGCAAGTCTAATGGAAATTTTATTGTTATGATAACAGATGAATAATGATCAAATAGTGCAGAAATGTAGAGCTTTGTTTTTACTATCAGTCTATATAAAAAGAAAAGTTCTTTGAACATTCTATAAGAAATTGACATAGTTCCTTAAAGACTTTTGGTATGGCCTAAGTATATTCAATTAATTGAAATACATGTAACAGGCTTATTTTCTTTTATAAATCGAATAACTAAGGCAACATATCTGTTTTGCCAAATAAGCTACAAAATACATTTAAGTCATATTATCAATAAACAACTTTACTTAATTGATATATTAACAATATTTTTTATTACAAAAATACAAAATATTATTCGAGTCTCAACTAGATTCTAAATTCACCTAACATATATACAAAAAAAATACCAAAATATTTGGAGAGATGATAACAAATTTTTCTTCTATTTCTCAAACAGTGATAAGATACATGCTTTTTGTTAATATCATTACTTAAATTGAATATGAGAAGAAATAAAAGAAAATTGCTTACCGCTGTGCAAGTATAGCGACGATGGAATAAAAAAAAAAGAAAGATGGAAAAAGAGAAAGAAAAGATGGGAAAAATAAAGAGAAGAAATCTGTAATTTCATCTTCTATGGATTTCATTGATTAATCACGTTCTGTATAGATTCATCTATATTCTGACTGTATACTTTTTCCCTATGCACGAACCGATATATATATGATTATCACTTTTTCTCATCCTTGAGATGCTCTGTCTAGGAGAAACCCAATGAATAAAATGAGGAGTGATTGATTAGCAGATAGATAGTTCTTAGGCGACAAATACTTTTTATTGCTACAGTATGGTTAAATATTTGTTTAATTATCTTTTCTTCTGTATCTGTTGTGTTTGATTAATGAACTTATAAAGTCATAATTAATTGAGCCGATAAAAACGAAGATACATGCTGTATTTTCATCGAATTAATGGTTTTACAGAAATCTATTTTGTTTTGCTAGTGAGTTATAAGTTCTTTTACAAGCTTCAAAAAATGATCTGATCAATGATAGATATAGAGATAGATGATACATCTATGTACTTATGGTGTACCAAAAGTTCGAATCACGATGTTTAAAATTTTATAAAACAGTAAATATTGAATGTGTTATTATGGAATATATAGTATAACGTCTCGTCTTTAATAATCTATAGAGCAGCTCTATCTTGAATTTAGTTCTAACATCCTGCTAGACTAAGCCTATAATTTAGCGACTATGCTAATATTTAACTAATCCTTGTCCAATGTTCAGGTATATTCTGGAACTTTCCATATTTTCCATTGGTCACTCTCTCTCATCATATTTTATGACGTCATGTTCTAGAATATTACATTTCGATAGTATATATATATGAGAGGTCGTTCACTGTCAGCTCATCTGTACCGTACCCGACTTCAAATCGTGATAGAATCTGATTTCAACTTTAAAACGATCTATTAAACATGACTGATGAATTTAACCGATACTATATCAGAATTCGAGCTATTTTGGGAATATATTCAAAAACAATCTTCGACGAACTTACAGAAGCATTGGGACCTGATGCTTCATCATATCCAATGGTCAGAAAATGGACGAAACGTTTTCGTGAAGGAAGAGAAGATGTCAGTAATGATCCTCGATCTGGTCGTCCGATTTCGGTACTTAGAGATGAAAATATTGAGCGCGTTCGACAAGTTATCGAAGATGACCCACACTCAACTTATGATGATATTACGGTTGAGACTGGTCTATCTCGTGGTACAATAGAACGAATTATTCATGATTGTCTAAAGATGAGAAAAGTTACATCACGTTGGGTTGCTCATCAACTCACTGACGAACAAAAACAAGAACGATTTAGAATTTGTCGTCAAAATTTAGAGAAATTCAGAAACGGAACGTGGCGGTTATGTAATATTATTACTGGTCATGAGACATGGATTTATCACAGATAGATTGGTCGGAAGTCAAGCAATTCTACCTGGGTTGGTGAAAATGAACCACCAAGGACCGTTGTTCGTCGGAATAGATCTGAACCTAGAACATTGTTTTGCTTATTATTTAAATTCACTGGTCCTGTTCTTATACATAAAGTAGATAAAATCATCACGTACAAAATATAAACTGCTTCATGATAATGGTCGTCCTCATACTCATCGAGATGTTCTTAATTCTTTAACAGAAGAAGGTATCGAAATAATCCCACATCCACCACATTCACCAGGTCTTGCACCGTGTGACTTTTGGCTAAATGATTATATCAAGAGGAATTTGCCTGATCACACAAACGAAGAATCGCTGGCTCAGGAGGTTTCCATCATAGTGAAGAATATTTCAATAAACGAGTTTAAAACGACCTTCGATAAACTGTTAGAAAGGATGGAACTTTGTATAGAAAATAATGGTGATTATTTTGAGCATTTAATAAAATAGAACTACGAACATTTCTTTCTTTTCGTATTCTGGTTTTATGTTGTCAGGATCTTTTCTTGGCCATAAGTACTATAGATTTTATCTAGCAAGATGTTAGAACTAAATCCAAGATAGAGCTGCTCTATAGATTATTAAAGATGAGACGTTATACTATATATTCCATAATAAAACATTCAATATTTATTGTTTTATAAAATTTTAAACATCGTGATCCGAACTTTTAGTACACCCGAAGTATATATCAACAATTAGTTGTATTTATTTAAATGATACTATATAGAACACTTGTTTGAAAGTGACCTCTATTCAACCAGCGAAGATCAAGATTTTAACGGTGAAAATAAGTACAAAAACCGTCTTTTTATTTAATTATATTGAGAAAAACTGAGAACCAGGTTTTGAACAGATGAGCGTGAACTATTTATTCTTGCATCTATTAATGAATGATATCGTTCAATTTTAATAAAGGCCCTACTTATCTCGTTTTTTCTATCTTATAACAATGACCAGACATTTTCTTATTAGTTTTCATACATGTGTTAGTGAATTGTCTAATGTTGTTCAAACCTGTCAACACCAATATAAATAAATGGCGGTGCAAAATTAGAACGAATGAAAGGTCTGAATAACAGAAAACCTTGATGTGATAAACAAAGAATAGCTAGCTCATATTTGTAGGAAACCAAATAAACAATACTAATTTTTTTATTTCCAACCACAGATCATAGTTTTGAATAGGATTCGTTAAGTATGTTTGTATAAATTGGAATTTACGAACAATATTTTTCATATAATAACTGTCGAGTCATATTAATCAAACTTTCAATAATACGAAACTATGTTAAGAATGAGTCTTTTGAAGCAATGAATACATTTTATCGCTTTATTTACTTACTGAAATACACTAGTAATCAAAAATTGTAAGACTATTCTGTGATGTGTGTGAAAAAAGCTAGACAGATGACGAAAAGAAAATATAGTGAATAATGTAAGACGAGAGCCCGTAGCTCATCCTGTCTCTTTTTTTCTCTTTATGTTTTCTTCTTCGTATTCACAGAAAGTAGTTATTAGTGTTTAGCTCTCTTGGAACACGCACATAAAGACTAGAAAAGAGAAAAAAGAACTGAAGCAATATCTCAATATGACAGTAACCAATTGTTTGCAACTACATCTAGAAATAAGCGAAGAAAAGAAAAAAAAATCTCTTTCTCTCTATTCACAACAACACTTTCTGTTATTTTCTTACAAAAATACTTTTCCATGGTCGTCAGACATGATCGATATAGAACACATTTCTATAAAAAGAAATTTCCGTCACTTACTAATACGTTTAATAAAAACACAATTATTGTAAACAAAAACGACGAAATGTCTTTCGATTCCATTTTAAACGGATGCTGAACGTGTCTCAATGGTTTTATTTATCAGGGACTGGAAAGATAGCAGTCATTCACTCATTATGAGTCACTTTTGTCGTTATATGTCCTTTGCATATAGGGTCGTGTGAATCAAGAAAGACCGATATTTCTCTTGCGTTCACCTTGGACGAGTGACAGAACGACAAGTATGACTTGTAGTGAGTGAGTGTATGACTGCTATTTTCCCCATTCTTATTAACTCGTTAGGTGCACGTGGCGCATATATGCGTCACGGTAACTTCTGGATAAGATCTTACTCGTAGATTCATATATGATATCCGCTTTCGTAAAAACATTTACAGGCCCTCTTTCCGTGTAATTTGAGTTATACATTTTCTTATCTTCTAACCAGCAACGTGTAATAAATACAACACGACTGAATTCTACGTAAAAAAATCCTATTGTCTGAAATTCTCATAAGCACACAGCGAAATAGATATTTTCACTTTCCAAAACACCGCAACGAAAGGATTAATAAATATCTTTTTAACCGGTCCATGTTAGGACTTTTTTTCATATGTATTATTTACGTATTTATTTATGTTACTTAGATTGTTTCTTTTTTAGACTTACGTCTCTAAGGATGGGGTGTAGATGGATGTGTCGGTATGGGTATGCGACTGGCTGCCGGTGTGGATATAAGTCTTCTCTTGCTACTCACACCCACATCCTTAATAATTGTGTTTAGAAGAAACGGCTCATCCGAGGAAATTTCATGTGTTATAGTTTGAAGTCATATCGTGGCCTATTACTCGGTTGTTTGCTTAGCTTTCGAATGGCTCTTATGATAGATGTTTTTTTCTTTGGGTCGATAACTTCAATTGTTGATTAAGAACCTTTATGTGTTGAAAGAATATTTCGTAGATTATCCAAAATGCGAATGAACTGAATATTTAACGGCATTTTTGCATGGAACAATATGTTAAATATTAATCGATATTAGAATTTTTGGGTGTGGGTGTCGGTGGGTCTGAGTGTAGATACTCGTGTCATGTATGCCAACCGTCACACCAACACCACCCACACTCACACCCTTTATTTGTTTGGACAAATGATGATGCAATATCTTCATTGAATAAGACAAAAAAGAGATTCAAAAAGGAGATTTTTACCAATTTTTAATGTGTGAAAAGCCGGTTTCTACTGCCTCGATTGATTTCCTTAACCAATCCAATTCCGTTCATGTGCTACCGTTAATAGCATGACATGTACAAGTTGATTATCAGAAGGTATTGTCATCTGTGCCTTCATATAATCAATGAAAGATTAAGAAACATTTGCTTATTGAGTATCTCATTTGGTTCAAACTACGACTGTTCTATCATCGGGTAATTTCCATCTGCCATTCATTGATAAGATAAACTAACCTAGACAGTATTTTCTATGGTACGAATATCTGTTTACTTTTCGTTTATATCATGAAAATAGCATATTGACCAAGAACGTGTTGACATTAATGTGACAGTAAACAAAACAATCTTTGATTAGCATTGTCAACAAGAATTTCGCTGATATATATGCAGCATTTTCTGGTTTGAGAAAACATACATATCTATCTTGCTATTGCTATCATCATGATGTCGTTCGCTATGGTCGCTTCGACACTATTACTCTTTATTGCCATCATTACTCCGATTGAATCAATATTAGTGAATCGTACTTATGTCATTGTTAAAGATCGTATCATGGATGACAATCGACTGAGTGAATTTTCCATTTTTGATTCTACCGGTAAACAGCGTCAATATTTTGTTAAAACATTTTATAGCGATATTCACGCTGTCGTACTTCTTTCCTATCCATCGAAAAAAATTGTTGCTAATCTTGAAGGTGAATGGACCGATGATATCATTAATGTTACATTTTCCATTTTCGACTCTCATTCTGATCAATGGATAGATGGAACTATCACAAAAAACTATCACTTCATCCACCAAAAATATACAATCCAATGAATGGTAATCAAATAATAATGAAAAACAAAATTTTCTCAAACAAGTATGATTTACGCGATCAAAATCAAGTTCGCTTATTAGCTGAATTTCAAGAACGTTCGTATTGGTTCAAAAAGTCACCTACAACATACATTCTTCAAGTGTTTTCTGACAAAGTATCTGATATAGTCTATTTCTTTGCGGTCATGGTCATGGATCATAGACGCATGCGTATGGTGGAGAGCAGTGAGGAATGAAATGCAATAAAATAAAATTGTAATAAAACTTTATCAAATACATTTATCTGATTGTCAATAAAATCAAATGCATTTTTCTCAGTAACCAATCATTCACTGATTGAATTTTTCTATTGTACTGTTTTTCAAATTTGCATGTATTGAGACTAAAGAGAGCATTTTTTTTCCCATCTCACATTGCTGCTTTTTCAAATGTATTTCATCATCAGATGATGATGACACAACAATAGGTCAAATCTGGTGAGCGAATCAATCTCTTTACTAGTGGTATTCTTGTCTCCGCTTCTTCGTATAATATATGAATGCATAAACGAAGCAGAAACCTAGCGTGGATGTGGATTTTGAGTGTGGGAAGTGAGGATGTGGCTGAAATGGAGACGTCTATTCCCACACTCATTTTATATAAAAGGACCACGGCGGATAAGACTATTTTTCTGCCCTCAAAATATTTCATTTTTATTTGTGTTGAAATCAACCAGTGGCGACACCCGATAACGTTGCACAGCTTTATTTCACAGCGTCTCGTGATGATTTTTTTCAGTCATACCTGTACTTCTCAACGAGGTCAACTAAAAAAATTGGCCATCATTCTAAGAGGTACGGGTGTGACTTGAAAAATTGATGGAGAAATGCTACGAAATAAGCCATTGCAATGATATTAAAAGTCGTCAGTGAATTGGTTTCAGCATAAAGAACTGAAATATTTTAGGGGCGAAAAAACTGCCTTATCCACTCTCATCTGTTAGAGTGCTTAATTCTCGAGTACATGTACAACTACTAGTCCTCTTGAGTAGGACTATGTCGAGTATTTTGCTCAGTTCTACTGAACAGCTCGTAAAAGGTTTTAAAACATCACTCAAATATACTACTGAAAAATGCTTATAACATCTCTGGTAAATCGAATATTGTTAAG